ATTACACTGTAACATAAACCCTCCAAACTCCTCGGCCTTACCAGAAAATAGTACACTGGGTTTTATCTCGGGCTCACGGATAGTGTGTTGATTTGAAGATCCAGAAGGTTGTGAGGAGAGGTTGGAGTTAAATGTCTCGGTGTGGGAAGATGAAGATACCTTCTTTCCTAGCTCGTGGACCATACTACCCAGTTCGGTTAAATTCTCGGAGAGTCTCTGTTGTTGTTTTACAATCTGTTGAAACATATTTTCAGTAGTGGTTATTCGGTGTTCTTGGGAAGCTAGAAGCTCCTGTAGCTGATCCTTCTCGGCCTTGTCGTGAGTACTCATGTTATGGCTGAATCATTCTGTTACGGTTTAACAAAATGGTACTCAAATTCAGACAAGGCTGAGAGGGATGACAGACACAAATAATAGTTTAAGTGATTTTATTTACAGTGCAGGAAAAGGGGGTTCGGGGTTCCTGGAAGGCAAAGTGCAGAGTATTAGCAGGGAGGCTTTGACGAGATGAATATTCAGAATTGAAGTTGAGTTTTTTCTTTCTTACAGGATGACGACGAGGAGGCAGACTCAAGGAGGAGGAAGTCCAACAGGTAAGAAAGTCCACTTGAAAATGAAGATACCTTGAAGGGTTCTTGATGGGGGTTGTAGTAGAGGTGGAGTGGCAGGTTGGAGAACAGAGCTTCTAGAGGAGTCCAGTACAGAGGAGGTTCGTCAGGTTTAGAAACGCCAGGTGTGTCCGAAGCTTGCCTTGAAATCAAAGAAGAACACGAGTTGAATAATTCAGAATTCTCAAGGAAAGGTACTAAAATGGCTGTCTCACAATACCCCAAGGTGAACAATGATTCAGCGAAGACTGGAACCTCCACACAGGCTTAAATAGTGGCTGGACTCGTCAGCCAGATGGGAAACAGGTGGCAACCCAGGAGCTCCGTCTCACTAATCAGCATCTGCAAGGTGAGTTCTCCCACACCCACACACACGCACACACACAACCCCAATAGTACCTGTGTTCCCCTGAGGTCTTGGCTCTTAATGACTGTGGCCCCTGAGGTTTTGGCTTTCAGTGACTGTAGCCCCTGAGGTCTTGGGTTTCTATGACTGTGGCCCCTGATCTCTTGGCTTTCAGTACCTGTGGCCCCTGAGGTCTTGGCTTTCGGTACCTGTGGCCCCTGACATCTTGGCTTTCATTACCTGTGGCCCCAGAGGTCTTGGATTTCAGTGACTGTGGCCCCTGAGCCCTTGGCTTTCAGTGATGGTGGCCCCAGAGCTCTTGGCTTTCATTATGTTTATTTCATGTATGTACATATATGTATGTATGTATGTATGTATGTATGTCAGTCTCAGAGAGTCAGAGTTTCTTTATTGTCATTCGCACCTCATGTGGTACATGTGGTGGAGCGAAATTATGTACACAGGGTCCCAGTTACATCCAACAATAAAATGTATAAGAAAAACAGTAATAACATCTAAGATATGAACTAAGAAAAACATCAACTAAATATACACTAAACACTCATAACATAAAACATTGAACATCAGCACAAACATGAACATGAGTCTGTGAGCAGATGTGCACGCATGAACACATCAACATTGAAACAGATCAGCAGCAACATGAAACAGATCAACAGCAACATGATGTGATTTTTCACAATGATTATTCTAGTTAGAGATTCATGAGTCTAACAGCCTCAGGGTAGAAGCTGTTCCTCAGTCTAGTGGTTCTACACTTAATGCTCCTCAACCTCCTTCCTGAGGGGAGCGGGGCAAAAAGTGTGTGTGCTGGGTGAGTGGGGTCCTTCATGATGCAGGTGGCACTCTTCCTGCATCTAGAGGTGTAGATGTCTGTGATGGTGGGGAGGCTGACTCCGACAGACTTCTGTGCAGCCTTCACCACTCTCTGCAAAGCTTTTCTTTCTGCAGCTGTGCAGCCTCCATGCCACACGTTGATGCTGGAGCACAGGATGTGCTCCACTGCACACCTGTACAAGGAGGTGAGGACTGAGCTTCCAGACCAGCTCGCCTCAGCCGTCTGAGGAAGTAGAGTCTCTGATGAGCTTATGTATGTATGTATGTATGTATATATGTATGCATGTATATATATATATATATATATATATATATATATATATACATATATATCTTTCTTGTTGTAAAGGGGCGCTCTAGCATAGATATAGAGCTGCAGCGACCAAGGGAAGTCCAGAGGCGTAGTCGAGGATGAGCAGGGTTCATACTCGGGATCCCAAGAGGAGACAGTAACGAAGGGAAAGGCAAAGGCAAAATCCAAAAACATGCATATATTAGGGTTGTGTGTGTGTGTGGGTGTTTGTGTGTGGGAGTACTCACCTTGCAGATGCTGATTAGCTGAGACAGAGTTCCTGGGTTGCCACCTGTTTTCCATCTGGTTGACGAGTCCAGCCACTACTTAAGCCTGTGTGGAGGTTCCAGTCTTCGCTGAATCACTGTTCACCTTGGGGTATTGTGAGACAGCCATTTAGTACTTTTCCTTGAGAATTCTGAATTATTCAACTCGTGTTCTTCTCTGATTTCAAGGCAAGCCTCGGACACACCTGGAGATTCTAACCTGACGAACCTCCTCTGTACTGGACTCCTTTAGAAGCTCTGTTCTCCAGCCTGCCACTCCACCTCCACCACAACCCCCTTCAAGAACCCTTCAAGGTATCTACAATTTCAAGTGGACACTCTTACCTGTTGGACTTCTTCCTCCTTGAGTCTGCCTCCTCGTCATCACCCTGTAAGAAAAGAAAAGGAACTCAACTACTATTCTGATTATCAGTCTCGTCCAAGCCTCTCTGCTAATACTCTGCACTTTGCCTTCCAGGAACCCCGAATTCCCTATCCCCTGCACTGTAAATAAAATCACTTTAACTTTTACCCGTGTCTGTCATCCCTCTCAGCCTTGTCTGAATTTGAGTACTATTTTGTTAAACCGTAACAGCATAAGTTGTCAACAAGGTCAGAAGGCTGAGGCTCAAAAGGGACAGGCAAAAAACGTGGTCGAGGGAAACAGGCATGGATCAAGATTAAAGAGCTGTGAACAAAGACAGTACGCTGGATAACTGTGGCTGGAAGCAAGCAGTTGATCTGGCAACGTATTAGAGAAACAGGAAGTATATATACGCCAGAAACAGGTGGAAACCATCAGCAGCAATCAGAGAGAGAGAGGTGTGGCATGAAAAGAGGCTGGCAAAAGCAGCAGAGGAAAAACCCCAAAAAGGGAAAAACGGAGTGTAAACTATGACAGTATATATATATTAAATTCAATTCAGTTTATTTGATGGAAGTCTCTGATGAGGGTCTTGTTAATGATGTGACGGAAGGGGACCCAGGAACATTGTTCTGGGCCGTATCCCTCCCAGTCAACCAAATAATGGACTCCTCGGCCCCATCTCCTGGAGCGGAGGAGTCTGCACACAGTGTAGGTGGGTGCCCCATCAATGAATCGGGCGAGTGGGGGTGTTTCTGGGGCAGGGTGAAAATGCGAGGGCATAAAGGGCTTGATTTTGGATACATGAAAAGATGGGTGGATTCTCATGGATTTGGGTGGGGATAAACGGACAGAAACTCGGTTAATGATTTTGGATATGGGGAAAGGGCCAGTAAAACGGGGAGCAAGTTTGCGTGATTCTACTTTTAATGGGAGATCTCTGGTGGAAAGCCATAATTTCTGGCCCTTCTGATAAGTGGGTTGTTGAGACCTCCGCCAGTTAGCCCCTTTAATGTAGGCTGCGGAGGTCTCCTGGAGGGCTCGTCTGGCTCTCCGCCATCCGCGTTAGCAGCGTAAGGCTGACTGGTGAGCAGAGAGTACTTGAGCTTCACGCTCCTGAATGGTGATAAGAGGGGGCTGAAAACCAAAAACCGTGTAAAAAGGGGACTGACCAGTAGCAGGGTAAGGGACAGTGTTGAGGCCATGTTCGACCCAGGAGAGGTTGGGGCACCACTGGCTGGGATCTTTCTGACAGATGATCCTAAGCCTGGCCTCAACCTCCTGGTTTGCCCTCTCCGTCTGGCCATCAGTCTGGGAATGAAAGCCAGAGGAGAGGCTAATGGAGACCCCCAGGAGGTCGCAAAATTTTCTCCAGAACTTGGACACAAACTGAGGTCCTCTGTTGGAAACGATATCGGTGGGCAGACCGTGCAGGCGAAAAACTTCACGTGACATGATCCCAGCCAGGGACTTGGCTGAGGGAATCTTGGGAAGAGGGACCAGATGAACCATTTTGGAAAAACGGTCAACTACCGTCAGAATGACGGTGTTGCCGGCAGAGGGGGGAAGACCAGTGATGAAGTCTAGACTGATTTGGGACCATGGGCGTGATGGGATGGGAAGTGGATGGAGGAGACCAGAGGGGGGACGACATGAAGACTTGGCTTGGGAACAGGCAGGGCAGGATAAAACAAAAGAGTGCACGTCCTGTTTCAATGTGGGCCACCAGAACTGTGCGCAAACTAAAGAAACAGTTTTAGAAAAACCGTGATGGCAAACTAGGCGGGAGCTGTGGCAAAACTTAAGGACCTCCGGGACAAACTCAGGGGGTAAAGGGGGTCAGGGGGACAGGTGGCTGGAGTGGGGTGTAACTGGTTGGCCTGACGCAGGTCCAGCTCCAGTTGAGTGACAGCCAGGTGGGCAGAGTTGGGAAGGATAAACTCCCCGGTAGGAGGAGATGAGGAACAAGAATTCTCCTCCATGATGCGAGAGAGGGCATCAGGTTTAGTGTTCTTGTGACCGGGTCTATAGGTGAGGGCAAAGTTAAAGCGGGAAAAGAAAAGTGTCCACCTGGCTTGTTGAGGCGTTTGGCCGACTTAAGGTACTCGAGGTTCTTATGGTCAGTCCAAACCTGGAATTGGAACTGGGCGCCCTCCAACCAGTGCCTCCACTCCTCCAGCGCCAGCTTAACAGCGAGCAGTTCCCTTTCCTTGACATCGTAATTTCGCTCAGCTGGCGATAGACTTCTGGAGAAGAAAGCACAGGGATGAATAACTCCTTCCTTATTTTGTTGGCTAAGTACTGCCCCTACACCCACACTAGACGCATCTACCTCAACGATAAATGGTACCTCTGGGTTGGGGATAAGGAGGACAGGGGCAGAAGAAAACAAAGTCTTTAATTCTTTAAATGCTGCATCAGCTGCCTCTGTCCATAGGAACTTTTTCTTGGAGGAGATGAGAACATGGAAGGGATTAGCAATGAGGCTATAGTCTTTAATAAATCTCCGGTAGAAATGAACAAACCCCAAGAACCTCTGCAGTTGTTTCCGGTCTTTGGGTACTGGCCAGTCTAGTATTGCAAACACCTTGTCATTACTCATCTCAACTAACTTGGGTGAAATCTTAAAACTGAGAAAAGATGTGGAGGACTGGTGGAAATCGCATTTTTCAGCTTTGACAAATAAATTATAACCGGGTGAGAACAGATCTGATATGTTTCTTGTGTGAGGTTAGGTCCTTGGAGAAAATTAAAATGTCGTCTAGGTAAACAAAAACAAACTGATTAACCATGTCCCTTAGGACATCATTGACCAGAGGCTGGAACACAGCTGGGGCGTTGGTCAAGCCAAAAGGCATGACCAAATATTCATAATGACCTTTGGGTGGTTTGAAGGCCGTCTTCCACTCATCTCCCTAAAGTATGCGCACCAGATGGTAGGCATTACGGTGGTCGAGCTTGGTAAAAAATGAAGCGCCTTGGATAAGGTCAAAGGCAGATGACATTAACGGAAGAGGGTGTTTGTTTGTTTTTTTTGGTTATTTTGTTTAACCCTCTATAGTCTATGCAGGGTTTTAAGGATCCATCCTTCTTCCCCACAAAGAAGAAACCAGTGCCTGCTGGAGAGGTAGAAGGCCTGATGATGCCAGCTTGGTTTTGATGTACTCCTGCATGGCTTCTTGCTCAGGAGTAGACAGAGAGTAAAGGGCCCCTTTAGGGGGAGTAGAATCAGGAACCAAGTCAATAGCACAATCATAAACCTGTGCGGTAGTAAAGAGGTTGCCTTGGCTTTGCTAAAAACCTCCTTCAAGTCAAGGTACTCCTCTGGAACCTTAGAAAGTTCTGGATAAGTCTCTTTAATATTGTTTTTGGACATTGAGGGCATGACCGCATGAAAGAGACAAGATGACAAACAGGTATCGGACCAACCCACAATCTCCTTCTGTTGCCAGTTAATATGTGGGTTGTGTTTTGAAAGCCATGTGGCCCCTAGGACTACAGGAGAGTGGGGTGATTTGATAATAAGAAACTGTAATGTCTCTTTGTGATTACCCCCTATGGTTAAAGTCACAGGTTCGGAGATTAAAGAGGAGTCATGAAGAGGGTGACCATCTAAGGCTACGATGGACAGTGGTTTTGTAAGGATGGTACCATTTGCTGTTTCTGTTTGTGTCTGTGTTTCCCTAGTGTTTCCTCGTCAGTTTAATTGGTGCCACCTTTGTCTCGTCACAGCTGTTGTAATCACGTCTTGTCTTGTCCTTGTATAAAAGCTGTCTGTTCTGTCTTGTTCCTCGTCGGGTCGTATTCGTTGGGTCTCTGTGTTCTCCTGCGTCTCCCCTGAGCTCTCCTGAGTCCTCCCTGAGTTTTCCCTCTGAGCCTTCTATTTTGTAAGTAAGTTTTGCTGCCACGTCAGCTGTTATTTTGTTCTTTATTTACTATTAAAATACTTGTTTTTGTAATCTGCCGAGTTTGAGTCTTGTCTGCACATTGGGTTCGTTCCTGTCCACAAAATCCTGACAGGTTTAGGGGATTTAAACAGTTTATTCCTTGTTCTTGGGCAAACTGAAGGTCCATGAACTCAGAGTCGGCCCCTGAGTCGATGAGTACTTTAATGGAGGTGCAGGTCTTACCAGAAATGGACAGCTCAGCTGGAAACGTGAAGGGTGAGGAGATTACTGAATTCTGGGTCTGACTCAGCAGGAGTCTCCTCTTCTCTGTTGAGTCTGGCCTTTTAACAGACAGTTAGAGACGTTGTGAGAGTCCTGGCCACAGTAGAAACACAGCCAGTTCCGACGTTTCCTCTCATGTTCCTCTGGAGTAAGATGGCTGGGTCCAATCTGCATGGGTTCCTCTCATGGTAGTGTCTCTTGTGGACGTGGTGGAGAGGGGGGTCCCGGGTGAAGTCGCCTGGGCGCCTTGAGGGATCTTGAGGTTCTGCTGGATCTTTCAGCTCGTTCTCAGGACCTCTCCATCATGCGCAGATCCACCCTTGTCGCCAAATCCTCCACTTCCTATAGTGAGTCCAGGTATCGCTTGGTTGCCAGGTTGTCCATGATCTCCTCGTTAATCCCTCGGTAGAAAGCATCAATTAGTGCTTCTTCATTCCATTTACTACCCGCAGCCGTAGCATGAAAATCTATAATGTACTCAGTTACTCTTTGTTTTCCCTGCTTCACTGTAAACAGTTGACGAGCAGCCTCTCTTTCTGGGAGGATGGTGTCAAAAACTCTGCACAGCTCTTTTGAAAACTCATGAAACAAGAAGCAGTACCTTGAATCCTTTTGCCATTCTGCTGTTCCCCAGGACTTAGCTTTTCCTGACAGGAGGGACACGGTATATGCCACCTTAGCACGTTCAGAGGGGAAGGATGAGGGCTGGAGCTGAAAATGAATTTCACATTGTGTTAAGAACAGGCGGCACTGGTCCGGTGCCCCTGTAGTGAGATAGGTCGGTTAGCTTCGTTAGCTTCGGAGCTCCACTACATGTTATAATATCTGGACTAGTTCAAGTACCTGATATTATACTTAATTTAAACGGGTTCTCTCTATTTCGAGCTACTTGACAGATATGTGACAGAGATCAGTGACGTGAGACGTTAATTTTCTTTGACCCATCAAAATGAATGCGGTCATTTATTAACAGAATCAAAGTTTAACATCAAACATTGTACACGTGATTATTCTGATTGAAGCAATAACACAGCTTAATTACAACAGACATTTATGAAAATATCTGGATGATTTACTGGCAAGATAGAAGAGTTTTAAAGATGGGAAATGAAGTTTAAATGGAGAGGGAAAGATGGATGAGGGAATATCTGTCTGTATAAGAACGGCACTCTCCATTCGATCCCAGCTTCACCTCGGTACACTTAGGTAGTGGAAATCGACTCTTTACCTGTAGAAGATGTCTCCACTGGTACGGAGTTCCATTTAACGCCTCCTTTCCAGCGTCTCCGTAGGAACAGCTGTGAATCGTCCGAAGTAGTGACGGTACTTTGTTCAACACACGTTCACCTCACGGGTGGACTCACATGAGGAGTAAGTCCGTCAGAGGTTCCACTCAGATGTGGAAGATTCCATAATTCCCACAAGACTCGGAAGAACTTCGGATCATGTCTGGAACCTCCTGTTCTCTCCAGCAACTTTTCTGTTCGGTTCTGCCCTCCGAACTGAACTGCTCTCCCACCGCACTGGTTGGAACTAGGAAGTGTCGACATTTAAAGAGTTCTGTTTCCGGTTCATTTGGGAAGTCCTGATTGGCTGAAAGAGCTAATCAGAGGTGTGTTTTTTGTGACGTAAGAGGTCACTAGAAGTCAGAAAAACAGAAAAATGTTTTGGAACAGACAGAAAATGTTTTTGAGACAGACAAGAGAAATGTTTAGGCGAGTTGGGAGGAAACAGGTGCCAGCTTCTCTATTTACGTCTGAGAGGATTTAAAAACATGACAGTTCGTTCCAACAAACTTGTTTGCGTTTGTCTCCGACTTTTGACCGACTTACAACCTGCTCATTTCAGACAGAAGATCAAGAAAATGAATAATTACTCTGTAACAGACATTAACTAGATTTCTACTTTGAATGAGGATTAAAAATCATTAATACTGTTTCACAGTTGATTTAAAATGAGTAGTTCACTTCAACATTTAAAATGGTTTGAACTAAACACACTTTTGATTATCAAGACATTTGTAAAATAGTAATGATAATAAAAAAGAGAGTGTTCTTTCAATTGATCAGTGCAGGACACACTTAGAAAGTCTCTGGATGGACTTGATTTTGTGTTTCTGGACTCAAATCAATGAAATACAGTTCTTGTCCCAGGAAGGCCCTCAGGGCCAGATTTGACCTGAGACTTAGTTCACTACACCCCTGAAAACAGTTCTGGTGGAGTCAACCTTGGTTCCCGGTGTGGGTTACTCGTGGTTCCAGCATATGCAGGACTGCCGGCATGATTTGAGTCCTGAGGGTTTGAGTGAGGAGTTAGAGTCTTAAGCATGTTCATGATCTCATTCATGCCGGTCTCTAATTTACAGATGGCACCTTCCACACCAGAGCACCATTCTGAGCCTGGTGTAGGATCCATGTCTGGCCAGATCAATCTGTCAGAGATCTGATGGCAGAGGATCTGACACACAGACTCAGAAAGGTTTTTAAAATGTTTATTGAGTAAATAAACAGCTTCTGATGTCTCAGTTCCAGGGACAGGAACTGTATCTTTCTTGTTGTAACGGGGCACTCCAGCAGATATGTAGAGCTGCAGTGACCAAGTGAAGTCCACAGGCGTAGTCGAGGATGAGCAGGGTTCATACACGGGATCCGAAGATGAGACGGTAACGAAGGGAAAGGCAAAGGCAAAATGCAAAAACAGGCGTAGGTCGTCAACAAGGTCAGAAGGCTGAGGCACAAAAGGGACAGGCAAAAAGCTTGGTCGAGGGAAACAGGCGTGGATCAAGATTAAAGAGCTGTGAACAAAGACAGTACGCTGGATAACTGTGGCTGGAAGCAAGCAGTTGATCTGACAACGTAGTGGAGAAACCGGAAGTATATATACACCCAGAAACAGGGGGAAACCATCAGCAGCAATCAGAGAGAGAGAGGTGTGGCATGAAAAGAGGCTGGCAGAAGCAGCAGAGGAAAAACCCCAGGAGAGCAGAGAAGGAAAAGTCAAACAGTGAACAGAGTCATGAGAAAAAAGGAAAAACGGAGTGTACACTATGACAGTATATATATATTAAATTCAATTCAGTTTATTCATATAGCGCCAAATCACAACAAAGTTGTCTCAGGGCACTTTACAGAAACATTCACATACATAAAAGCCAATTAGTAAAGTTCTCTATCTAAGGAATCCAGCA